TTCAAAATGGAACTTTGCATACAATTACTTCATCCGTTGAGCCACGTTGTCTTAGAAGTTCGATTGTTTCAGCTTTATAGTTCAAAAAAAGGAACAGGTTTTGAAAATTCAAAATTTTCAATTTTTGACCTTGACCTTTTTTGACCCTGATTTTTGTAGGATCAAAGGTCATTCAAATTGGTTATCTATTTATACTTTTATATTTGCTGTCCTATCTCAACTTCCGGTTTTATAGCCGTAAATATTTAAAAATTTTGATGACTTGTATCTCGTAACCTTGACCTTTGTTGACCCTCTCCCTTTCAATGTTAAATGTCATTGACCTTGGCTATCTTCTGATACTTTCATTTGTGAGGTCTGTCTACTTCCGTTATAACAATCTTCCAAAGAATTCTTCTCAACTTTAGACTGCTCTTGCGCGTGATGTAATTATCGTAGAAGGTTGATTTTTTCAGAGTCTTTTGCAATTTGCTACATTTGCAAAATCCCACTCTGTGCCACGTGTGGCTCTAGTATTATATTGTATTGTATGCATCATTCTACAAAATGTCTTGTCTTAAAGATGTTTATCATAAGAAATAAATACAAGAAAAATACATTTCTTACCTGTAATTAGTACTGGTAAATAAACTATAACTATTAATATCAATATATATTTATACTCCATGTTATTGAATAATATTCAACAAGACGATATTCTCTTGTCATATATTTGGCCTACTAGTGTAGTATTTTATTACTCTAATTTACTTCCTCTTACACCTGTAAATACCTTTATATTATGCTATATATTATTGTTTAACATGACCTAAATACATACTACTATGTTGTAGCAATACCTAGATGGTATCACTTCAGAGAGAGACTGGAATTTCGGTTACAAACTTTTTGGACACTTTGTACCCTATCACTATTATACCTTATCTCCTGTTGCACTTACCAGGAATCGAATCGCAATAAGCACAAATATCCTTGCTCGACATATCATATAAACTTAAACAAAATGAAACAAAAAAAAAGTAAATATAAAAATTGACATGAATAAAGTGTTATAGTGAAAGACATGAATATAGAATTATAGAGAAAGACATAAATATAGAGTTTTAGAGAAAAAGAAACTGAATTCTGATTTATTTATTTTTATATAAAAAAACAAGGAAAATAATAGAATTTAAATATGTTAAATGTTAAACTGGAATCATAACAAAGATAAATCATTAATACATTTAAAAATTACATAAATGGAAAATATATAGTTTCAAACAAATAGTAACAAAGAATAAATTAATTATATATAAATATATTAATAAAACAGTTGCCACAGTAAGAACATATACATAAATACAATAACAGAGGGAAATTTTTTAATCTACAAATTTCATATATTTATTTAAAGCATACATAATAATATTACGATTACTGTATTAGATATTACAGTCTGTTGTATTTAATATGTTAGTATTGGATATTACTAGTACTGTATCAGATATTACAGTCTGTTATATTTAATGTGTTAGTATTGGATATTACAATTACTGTATTAGATATTACAGTCTGTTATATTTAATGCGTTAGTATTGGATATTACTAGTACTGTATCAGATATTATAGTCTGTTATATTTAATGTGTTAGTATTGGATATTACAATTACTGTATTAGATATTACAGTCTGTTATATTTAATGTGTTAATATTGGATATTACTATTACTGTATCAGATATTATAGTCTGTTATATTTAATGTGTTAGTATTGGA